GTTTCAAAAATAATCATGATGAGAGAAATGCAAACTTTTCATACTTACGTTACAAAGTTTTCTTCGGCAACTGGAGGACTCCAGAGTTTCTCTAAAGGGCATTGTAGAATATTATAGAGTTGCACCAGAAACTTTCCACGCTTCACATCCCAATCAGGATACTCTTCCAATACCTCGCCCTGCTTGGCTCGCTTTTTCTGCTGGTTCAACTGCTGATCTCGCATCGCCTGGTGGACAACAAAATCAATGCGCTTCACAACATTGACGAACAAGTACATGGTCATTTTGGTGAGATTCAAATATCGCACACGATCGTGTGTGGATAGTGGCTCAATGCTGCTTAACAGCGGCATTAGCTCTTCTCCTAATCTGTCCACGGTGAGATATAGAAGATCGAAGGCACGCTTCAAATTCCGTATGGCCGTTGGCTCATTTGCGGATGTTTCGATTACCGAATAGTAGGTATCAAAATGTTCGAATATGTAAAATGGATCACGCTGGTGCAATTTACTTTTACATGCTGAAGCCGAGAAAATGGAAGTGGATTATTTTCTGTTTACCGATTGTGCGCTTGAAATGAGCGCGCACCACTTCGCGCACAAAATATAACGCTTTACTTACCAAGCAATTGGTCTGGTATTTCGGCGGTTGTGTATACCTGTTGTACATAGTACTGATCGCCACGTGAATTAAGCAAATCATTATTTTTTAATGGTAAAATGAATTGGAAATCGTGTGTTTCCTCCATTCTGAAATAGTTTGCTTAAAACTGACGCTTATTTTGTAGTTATGAGAGATGGACGCTGCTTGAATAGTGTTCGTAGTACGGCAACGCCATCCAACGATAGCAATCGAGCAATCGACGACACATCGGATTATTTATATCGATACAAGATGTAGTATTTTGAGTTCATAGTCTGGCAGCACCAAGCAACGATAACAATCGACCAATCGAGCACACTTCTAGCTATCGAAATACTTGTGGGCGCACGTTGTGATAGAATATAAAAAACATCCAATTGTTGCATTGCAAATTAAAGACTTTCCGTATATAAAATACAATCATGCAATCGGGAAATAGTGGAAAACGTAAAAAGCCAAAGAAGAAGGGAAGTCGCTTTTTACAAAATGCCAAGGGATTCGCCAAGCAGGGTATTTTCGGTCGTGGAACACATATTGATGATGAGCAATTTAGTTATTTCATAAACATCTTGGATGCCATGAAGGCTGGTCTCAGCGATGTGGAGGAACGAGGTTAGTAGAAACTTTATAATATATTTAATATAAATTTACCGACTGTTTTTTCTTTAACAATAGTTAACATGGCCAACAACGTATTTGACCAGACAAATGAGCAGGAAATTCGTTTAGCATCCAATCAAATAGTGTCCAAAGCACTAGAGTCTCTCATTGGATTTGTGGACGCTTCACATCTTGAGCGCTACTTTACAAAGTTTGGTGAGAACCTGCGGCCCATGTGCTCTGACCGATTTGCATCCCATGTTCTGCAAAAGATGTTGGAAATAGCATTTCTTCGAGCATTGGGTAAAGATGCAGCACAGAAACCAGAGACTGAATCGGATGCTGCCAAGCGACCTAAGCCCGATGCCGCACAAATCGAGGAGCAGTACAATCTGGAGATCGAGTTCAGTGACGAACATCGTGAGCAGTGTCGACAATTCGTGGTTCGCATCTCAAAATTCATGTTAAACAATCTGGAGGACTTTGTGTGGGACTCGTGCGCCACACACATCATGCGAACAGCCCTACTCTGCCTAGTTGGCGTTCATGTGCCTAAAATAGCCTTCGAAAAAAGCGGCGTAGACCTGGCCAAGTATCGAAAACTTTACACAGTTCCAGAGGAATGGCATGAAGTAATGAAAGAGTTTCCACAGCGCTTGGAAATGTGGCCACAGTTTCCGGACTTTCCTTACGAGGATCAGACGTCGGCCCTACTGGGTGCTATATGCATTGCTCTGGGCGCCGTTGATAAGAGCATGTTAAAGCACTTTGGCAAGAAAATCCTGATGGAAAGTTTTCTCAAGCCAAACGATGAGGCTAATCCTGACGATAATGACGAGCTAAAGGAAACTAAAAATGAAATAGAAGCTGACAAAGATAACGAAGAAGAAGACGAAGACGATGAAAAGAAATCAGCTACAAAAACTAAAGACACCGATGCTAAAACTGAATCGCAAACGGAATCTGAAGTTGAGGTGGGACTACCCAAAGTCTTCCACTACCAGAGCTCGATAATATTGCTGGAGACACTTTTGAATGTGGCAGGTGCCAAGCTGCTGACACAGCTCTTCGCCATGCTCTTCAGCGGTCACATAGCTCACCTGGCACTGCAGCGGCAAACGAATTTTGCCGTGCAACGTCTGCTAAATAACATACATGAGGCGTCTGACCTCGAGTCAGCCTTTAATGAGCTGCAACCGCACACTGAGAAGCTGCTCCAGAGCGGCTTAACTGGCGTAGTGTCTGCATTGAGCGGTGCCTGTCTGCGGATGGGCGTCAAGCAGGCGCAAATGATCGCCGCACTGCAGAGCGCTCTGCATGTGACCGGCGACAAAGAGAAGTCGAAGATGTTCTTCACCTGCCTGATAAAGCTGAAGCCGTATGAGGTTGTGCTGGACGATCAGTCGAGCTTTGTGCATTTGCATGGCTCGCTGATAGCACAGCATTTGCTGAAATTCAACAAACCCATCTTCCTGGTCAACAGCATACTGGAATTGCCGGCTGCGCAGCTGGCGCAAGTGTTCAATACGCCAAATGGCTCCCACATTGTCGACGCTTTCATGCAGAGCACATATATTGGCGAGAAGTCACGAGAGCGTCTCATCCGCCAATTGGAGGGCTTCTATGTGGATCTGGCTATCACTCGGCATGGATCACGCGCCTTGGAGCAGTGCTTCAAGGCAGCCCAGGAAGCCCAAAAGCTGCGCATTGCCAAGGAACTGACCACAAAGGCCAACATGACCAAGGGATCGCCATTTGGCCAGCTTATCTACAACAAATATCGTTTGGACACCTATAAACTTTCGCCCACCCAATGGCAAGCGAGTCTGAGCCAAAAGGTGGTGGAAGAGCAAAAACCTGAAAAGACGAAAAAACGAACCGCGTCCGAGTTATTCAAGGATATAATTAATTAACTTGTTAGATTCAGATATATATATATGAACTACTCTTAGTATATATGTATGTAATAAATACATTTTAGCTCATTCTGTAGCTAAATAATATTTTATTGTAAAATACAATACAAAGTAATTGCAATATTAATATTAAGCGTACAAAAATTTGTTATCAACTCAGCTCAGCTGTTATCAGCTGACAAGACAAGGCAAGACAACTGTTGATAGCTCAGTTTCAGTTTTGGCTTCAACCGAAAACAATCAACATGAGAGCAGCAAGTTTCTTCCTATTATTATCCTTTATTGGCGGCTCACTCGCATTTGGCGACGAGGCCATTTTCGAAGACGAAGACATTTACAATCAGGCGTTGCCTCCTGTGAACCATACGGGGCTCACGGTGCCTGGTACCAAGTGGTGTGGACCTGGCAATACGGCAGCCAACTACAATGATCTGGGACGGGAGCGTGATACGGACAAGTGTTGCCGGGAGCACGATCATTGCGATGATATCATGGAGCCGCACAGCTCCATTCACGGTCTGCCCGCCAACACGGACTGGTTTCCCATGTAGGTGGCTTGAAAAATCAATAGCTCGACCAACATCTCAAATATTCCCTTCCTTTCAGCTTGAAGTGCAGCTGCGAGCAGAAGTTCATCAACTGCCTGCAGGCCGTCAACACGTTGACATCGAACACCATGGGTCGCGTCTACTATGCGACACGGCACAGGTGCTTTGCAGAGGGCTATCCCACAACCGGATGCAAGGAATATCAGCTGGGCGCCGTACGCAGGCGCTGCATTCGGTACACGGTGAACAAGCGGGCAGCCAAGCTCTGGCAGTTCTACGATATGCCATTCTATACAATCCCCAAACCTTGACCCACAGAGCTCTAATCAACAAAGTATATATATACACACATACACATATAAAATCGAAATACACTTTTATATATGTAAACCGAAAAGCTTATCGCAAAATTACGCCTGAATTCAATTGAACTGCTTAATTCTCCTCGGAGCTGGGATGCGTGTAGAAAGCCAAATCATAGAACTGCCAGCGGTAAGGCTGTGATTCGTCCACTTTGTAGCTTAGGCAACGCTTCATGAATAGATCCCACTGCTGCTCCTCACATGATGCGATTGGCGGCCCGTAGGCAAAGCACTGATTTCTTGTACTGAAATATATGCGACCCAAGGCAGCCGACTCCACGTTGTGCAGCGAGCTCAGGCATTGTCGAAACTTCGATTCACAGGCGCAGGAGAAGCTGTGGGCATGGAGAGATGTGTTGAGGTTGTGTAATCAGGAATCATTTCTCATCTCTCAACACTCACATGGGGAATAAGTCATTGTTGCTCAGACCGTGGAGCTCAGTGCTAGGAGAAATCTTTTCATTGCAATTATCATGCGCCCGACAGCACATGTCTAGCTCCACATCAGTGCCCAGATCATCATAGCCGTCAGCTATATTGCCGGGACCACACCATTTCGTGCCGGGCACCGTTATGCCCAGACCGTGTGCAATCGCTAGCATCGCCGCCAAGGCAACAACTAAAATTTGAGCGCCCATGTTCGATTCAAGAGCCGAATTTATACTAATCTAAGAGGAAGTCGAGAAGCTGTCGAAACACTACAAATTTGTGGTGAAAAAAGCCCGAATCGCTAATGTTTCCAAAGTTCAAATTAGTTTTCGTCTGTGACGCTCTTCGAATGCTGATTAGGCTTAATAGCGGCAATGGGTGAATTCACTATCAATAGAATAACCATACCTTTTTTTATATTATATACTAAGAATATTTTATACATTTGCATGGGCCACATTATTGCCCCGCGCACATTGAGAATAATAAATTAAATGGGGTGATTAATACTTGAACATTTTTGCATTAGTCATATTCTATACTAGTTAGGATTTTCATATTTCAGATCTGATTGCACTTGTTAAACCTCGCTTTTCTGACGATTCTGCATCACCTGGCGAAGCTGAGGGAAGGTGCTCTTCGTCTGCGGGGGATGGAGACGGGCACACAGCATTGTGAAGGGCTCGTATAGCGACGGACGTTCCATAACATTGACAGTGTAATGCTTAATGCGTTCACGTTGACACCAATTGTTCGCTCGATCCATTATGGACTCCACCGGAATGGGCGTTGTGGGAGGCGTATCCTTTTTGCTGCGAGCCCGGACATTGGCCAACACAATCACAGGCACTTCTTTCTTTTCCTTGTGCTTGTCTATGTCGGTCTTGATGTCCGCCAACATATCCAAGCTACGTGGATCTGTTGGATCATAAACTAACACAAAAGCATCGGGAAATTGCAAATAGTGACGCGGCAACTGAGCTGCTTGTTCGCCCTGTAATCCGGCCGTATCGTAGATTCGCAAGGTTTCCCGAGCGCCCCCACGTCCTGTATCGACACTCGCCACATATATATCCTCGATCGTTGGATGCAGCTCCTTTAAACAGATTGTTATTTACATAAATATTTGTAAACTGGAACAAACATACAAAGATGTCATGGCCCACTTACTGTTTCGGTGTTAACATTCCCATAAACCAATTGTTCGATAAGTGCGGTTTTCCCGACATTTTTCATACCACATACCAGAACTTTGCCCACTTTTCCAATTTTTGCATTAAGCATTTTTTAAAATTAAAGCAATACATAAACAAATAAACAAACAAGAGTCCCTACACTTTCTCAACATTAACTAGGTGTTGCCATATTTCTTAAGCATAAGAATTTCGATTTATCGATAGATTAATAGATAGATCGTCAAATAATTAGAAAGCAGCTCTGTACATTTTGAATCGGAAAATATAAAGACAAATAAAAAGAAAACATATCGTCAGTTCAAACATTTTTATTATCACTTATGTATATAATATACTTAAGCTCATTTTAAAATATTTTAAGTGCTTAACTTTAATAATTAAATACAGTTAACGGTATGTTAATTCTAAATTTAATAAAATTGTCATCTTATTTATTTAATTTCTAAATATTAAATTTGTTCTCATATAGCAAAACGTTTCCAAACGACTCTTACGACCATCGTATTTGGTATCTTAACTTTCTCAAGTGGATGCGTGTCTTAAATACAAAATCCCAAATGGGGCTACTAATGCCATATCCGAGATCTTGGTGGGCAAAGTGATGCTGGTAATGATACCTTTTCATATGGTACAGATGATGACCAGCCGACGGGTTGCCATAATGTAGATAGTAATGTATCATATCATAGCACAAGTACCCTAAAAGAGCACCCGAAAGCACCAAACGGGGATGATAATTTTGTAGAATAATGCTTAACGGCGTGTATATAACGACAGCAATGATAACTCCAGGCAAGGGCGGGAAAACAAGACGCATTGAATCAAATGGGACTTTGTGATGCAGTCCATGTATTAAGAAGTGAAATGTGCATAGCCAAGGTCCACTGTTGCTTGTCAATTGGACATGAAAGACCCAACGATGCAATGAGTACTCCAGAAGCGTCCAAAACATCACACCACAGACCAGATGACTGATGACTGTTGTGATCTGATATTGAGGATAACGTTTATATAAGTAATAAATGTAAATGCCAATAACTTACTTCTTTCATATTGTGTGAGTTTGCTTGGACTTCATCCCATCCGCACGCAATAATCGTTGGGATCCAAAACATTGGTACCACCCACCAAGGCGTTTTCGTGCACATTTCCAAATACCAAGGACCGAATAGGCGTAGTGGTCTGTCGACTGGTTTGTGTACCCATTCATCATAATGCTTTGTTATATTTGAAATTTGTGGCAGCATAGCTTTCGACCAGTCCACGAGGTGCTACAACAATAAACAGATAATAATAACCGTTATTAATCAGCCTACGGCTTATCGATACTTTCAGCAGGTGGCCATACGTTTTTTTGACTATTTTGGAAGCCTATCGATATACGTATATGAAATCAATCAAAAGTTGGCGTCTCAAGCAGCTGGTGTGTTTTACTTCAAAGCTGACATTTGAACGGATCGGTTGGTTTCATTCCGTGCAAGCTGGCAAACACGAAAATATTAAAATTGTCACAATATATATATTAACACATATTTACGTGTTCTGGCTAACCAAAATTCAGCAGAAACATGTCGAACACCACAATACGTGCCCCAATACCCACTTTGCAAGGCATGTTTTCAGTGCCGCGTAAGTATAGCTTTTCCCAAAGAGCCATGGCAACCGTAAATAATTATTAATACAATTTGTCCATAGGAGTCACACCAGGACGTAACTTCTTAAAGGAAAACAAAAAGAGCTTGCGTTCTTTGGAAAAGACAACCACAGAGAAGCTTGCTGCTAAAAAACCAGTACGTCCCAAATGGATGCCCCCGCTACGTCGCACTGCGTCCGAGGTGCGTGAGGCGCAGCGCTGCGATTCGGAAAGATTGTCCTCACGACATGTCGATGATGAGATCTGTGTGCTGCGCCCTCAAAAGAACACACGCTCGCAGCATAGCCTGGACAAGCCGGAATCAGACGCACGTGAATCACAGAAAGACAAAAAGGCTCGTCCAACACAGTCGAAGTCGCAATCGCAACTGCAACCAGTTCAGCAAACATATCCACAGAAACCACAACAACAAATACAAACATCGAAGCGTTGTCAGTCATGTAACAGCGAACACAGCAGTGGCACCAGCATTGCCATACAGACAGACGACATCACGGATGAAATTTACTTAACCAATGCACTCAAAAAGTTAGTTAATTTCTCTCTCTCTCTACTCACAACAAATACAATGGGGACTTTCTATAAATGTATTATAGGTGCAATATTGACAGCAAGACCGTATTGAGTGAGGGGCGTAAGTATCGCGAAGATTCTAGACCCGATTATGATTACGACGAGAACTATGATCAATACAATGATGAAGACGAACAGCCACTGTCAGCTCGATCCAATGAATTCAACAAACAGCCACTGTCAGCTCGATCCAATGAATTTAACAAACAGCGTGCCTTAGATATTGATGACAACGAAACTATGCCCTTGCCAGAAATTGAGAACATAGGCTTTGAGAATAATGATGAAGACGCACCATTGAGTGGACGCAGTCGCGAAACAATCGCCACCGAGGCATCAAATATGACAACCAAGTCAAAGCGTCGTAGCGAGTACAAGTTGGGCTGTAAGTAAAACATGTAAATAATCATTTTGCATATTGTTTACTAGAGTTTTTTTTAAATGCGTTTGCAGCACGCGATGATTTGCGATTGCCGCGCTATTTGGAAAAGGAGAAGCGTGAGAAGGCCCAGGCCAAAGAACGTGCAGATTCACGCGATCCAGACTGTCCACGTGGTCACGTCTTGATGAGCGAACCGGAACGCCTCGCAGCATTGGCAGCCGCCCAAAATCGTGAGTAGCCCTTAGTAATTCAATAAATGCAATTTATGCAATTTTCGACTTAATTTTCAATTTGCAGGCTTTGAGTTGCTCATTAACGAGCTGAATCACATGCCCATGACTACTCAAACTCTACGAGTGCGTTCACGCAAGGCTGAGATCGATAAGGAGCTCACCACCGTGGAGGACGAGATACGCGTTCTATCCAAAGCTAAGGTCTACGTGAGAGCAGCTAAATCGCGAAATCTCTAATACTACGTCGAATTGCGTTAAGTGTTTAAAGTCAATCAAAGAAAAGAATCTCCCACTCCAAAAACAGGTTTCTGACCTCAAGCAATATCACTTGGTCTCTTGATGAACGTGATCAACTGGACCAACCTAGTCTTTTAATAGTAATAGTATTTATAACAAAAATAATGAATTATGGACTAGCATGTAGAGAAACAGAGAAGAGTGAAACGAACTATGAATAAAGAATGGGATGAGTGAAGTGAGTCAAAAATAGTTGTATTTTGATTATCTATTCGATCCACACTCACCTCCATGCTCTCATCCAACTGATTGTTGTTGCTGTCCTCCGACTTTTGGGCCGCGACCTGCTGACCCAGCAGCTCAACTCCATTCTCCGCCAGCTTTTCCGCCCTGCGCTCATTCGCGCTATTCTCTCGATCGTAATCCACTTTGTACTCGCGCATCAGGTACATTGCAGCATCCGAATGCGGCGGAGCTTTCATGAAGCGCGATGTCATATCGATCTGATTGAGACCCTTGAGGGTATTTATTCCGCCCGGATGCTTGTGCATAAAATTGGTTAAATCATAATACTGCTGACGGTATTTGACTATACATTTAGCTTTCTCCTCCGACTTGCTCCGGGCATCCATCTTGATGGGCTTCCAAATTGCAACTGCAACGGAAATTGTTCATAGAACAATCATTAGCTAAAAACTATTGTCATCGATTTCAATCTATTTAATTAAATAGCTGCACGAAATGTAGTTCAACTACTAATATTGTAATTATCAAGTGCAGCGACATAATCCAACAGATGATACAATTAAAATTGTACTCATATTTGGTTGGGTATCAAGTTCTACTCTACCTAGACGTGTATACATATACCCGCTAGATTAGATATATATGAATGTAATCCAGGTGTTTGTCAGCATGAATAGTCGATTAAACTGCGACTTTCTGTTTGATAAGATAACAGACAACAAAACTAAAACTAAACCTAGTTTTATGAGTTTCATAAGTGTACCAATCTCATTTATGGCCATTGCTATCAATAACTCTTTGATAAGCTAGCTATTTCGACAATCTAATAACCTTTACATTACATTTACGTTACATTCTTGAATGCATTTTACAGGAACACAGAGTTTGATTGTTCTGTAAAAAGTGAATACTCTATGAATGCATCTGATTCAAATGGTTTTCTATAAACTAGAGCAATCAAAGCATGCAAATTGTGCACATCTGAATAATTCAGTAAATATTTCCGGGGTATTTTTATGCGGCTAATAAATAAAATATGCATAATAATATTAATTTCTTTATATAGAAATATATAGAAAATATTCGTATATGATATAAATATTTTCAGAGTCAAAAGTATATTTATAAGGGTATTAAATAATACTTATATTTTAGGAATATATAATAATATTTTAGGAATTCAATGAGTATATCCTTAGTAAAAGGTATTTTTATCCGGGCATTAAATCATAAAACGGTATAAGTTCCTAAAAGAGTTTCTTTTAATATATACACATAAATTTTTTAGATATATATATATACAAAAATTCCACCAAAAGAGTATGCACGCTGATATATAAACTATATATGCCGAATGCTTTATGTAACTGAAAAGTTTGGGAGTTGTTTGCTTGGGCCTGATCGATATGAGGTAAAGGTCAGCTTGTAAGCGCCAAGTAATACCCATAACTTACACGTAAGCTTAACACCTGAGTTGATTTGATTTATTTTAAATGTTTGTGCTTGTACATTTATATTTATTTAACAATCTTTTAACACAAAAAATCGCAAAGCTTAGTAGAAACAGGCAGCGGCTACTAAATGTGAGGCTAATGAAAGACGGCCTGGCTTAAGGCACCGAACTGAACGAATAAGCTAGTCGAAAGGTGGGAGAGAAGCGACGCGAATCGCTCTAAACTGTCTGCTAATTATACTATACAATATTAAGTAAAACTCTTTGCTCTCAGCTTGCCCCAAAGACCCCAAATCAGAAAGATGATTGTGCTTGTAATGCATCGTATTACTATATCTGAAATAGAGATAAAAATATCTAGCAATAAAGATATAGATTTTATATCCTAG